GCCGTCCTTTTGGTTATCGGTTGGCGGCTTTTAGAGTGTCAAAGCAAGGATGGCACTCAACAAGTATATGGATGAGGTATAACTCTTTCCTTTTGCATATACTTTTTTCAGTTAGATCACCAGATGGACTTGCTTGAGAGCAATATGCTCCAGAAAAAGCCATGGTACCTTCAAGGTGAAACAGTTGCTAAAGACAGAGAAGAAAATGCCCTTCTGGGAGAACATTTAGAAGTACAGCGTCATGCAATATTCAGTAGAAGTTTCTTTTTAAGTAATGCTTTGTTTCTCAGCTCCGTCTGCAGTAGACGAAAGTATGATTGTGGACTTCATTAAGGGTGGAATTAAAGAGAGGGTACTAGTCCCCTTATTTATTACTCAATTACGTTTCTCACATAGGCGTTTGACAGTGCTGTATTAAAAATTAAACATAAAGAAAATGCCGCCTCCAATAAGGTTATTGGAAGTGGTGCAAAGACCTCGCTGGTGGAGGATTACGAGAACCTCTATATCAAAGCCAAGGTACTATCTTGTTCCTTATGACTGATTCCGTCAAGGCACTCGAAAAAGTTCAAGAAGATCCAGAAAAGGATGCACTTAGAAGAGAAATAATAGACTTATTTGATAATCTGGACGCACTGTCAAGCATGCATTTTGTGCCTAGATCGGTAAGGGCATTTCGACCATACACCTTTTTCATTAGTATTCTCACTGATAGTTAAGGTTCCTTAGTATTCATTCAGCGCTTAGAACCTTTAATTCTCCTCTGTCTCTGAGCCCACATTAGCGTACCGCGGGCCAAGTGCGGTGTTAAAGCTGAAGTGGCAAAGGGCCCCGTGCTTGAATTCATTTAGATCGCTTAAATCCCAAAAAGTTATACACTCTTTCTAAATATTTGTGCGGGAAAATTAGGAGAACCTTTGTCACCGTCTCAAAACAGACATTTTTTTCAATTTTCATATTATATTGAAGTGCGTGTCCTACCAGCCTCATCTGCCAAGAATTGTGGGCTACGACACACACACCAAGATCTACCTAGCGTAACTTTTTAAAGTCTTATCCGTTTATACAGCTTTGCACAGTAAATTATGTATTCATGCGGAAGAAGTCATG